ATAAGGACTATACTGACCCATTTTCAAATTGTCAAAACTGAATAAACATGATCAATTTTATAATCCCCTTGGTAGAGAAATCAGAAATAACAAAAAACAATTTTATAAGTCTTTTCATGTAGAAGCAATGACCTGACAAGTGAGCTACTGGAATTTTGGAGGTGAAAATAAAAGGGTGTTTAGTGTAGTTTATTTTGTATTAAATCAGCTTATATATTGAGTCTATTAAAAAATAAATGTACATAATTTGTTTGGTTTAGGTTGATTATTCTTATATGAAATTAGTTCATAAGCTGAGTTTACTCATTATAAGTTAGAAGCTTATAAGTCTGGACTATAAACTAACCTTTTTGGTTACATGTTCAAAATAAAAAGTTTTCTAAATTTACTTCTCTTATTTGTAAGCTATACAATTAAGTTAAGTTGCTTTTTCCTTTCTACTTCGCTAAATGAAGTATTTTTACTAATATTAAAATTTTATCATATGTCCTTTTTGGTCATTTCGTTAGTTCTTTAATTCATAAACATTTTAATCCAACACTTAATATCTTATAAATAAAACACAAAGACATTAGCAAAACGCATATTTTGCATTAATAAGAATATATCAACAGAATTCATCATATGGTAACAAAACAAAGACTTTTTCTCTGTAGTTGTTGAATTGAGATGTCAAATGAATTCTAATCTTTTGAGTTGAGAATCGTTAACCAAAATGACAGTAGTATGATAATCAAAAAGATTAGTAAGGTCTGATACATAAGTCAGCAAGTTAAATTTGAATGTTATAAGCATAAACATTATGTAAACACAAAATATTTAAAATAAAACTTTGGAACTTTTTAAAATATATTACCATTTCAAATTTCCATACTAATACTTCAAAATTTATACAACTGTAAGAATATTAGTTTGATAGTACTTTGAGAGATTTCTTTTTTAAAAAAAACTTTTTGCTTTACTTTTTGGAAATTTGAAAGGTAGTGTTAATTAGTGTAAGTAGATTTACATATTATCTTTGAGGAAGGAACAAAAAAATAATTGATTTTCACTTTTTTTGAAAAAAAAAATGAAAAATGAAGTAAAAAAAATTGGAGTCAAAAGTTGGGTCTAATTTAGACCCCATTCAAGTCTTTTTCTATCTAATTCAGTTTCTCATTAAAAATTCATATCATTTTGTTAGGAACCAAAATTAAACGCGTAATATGAATAGAGAAAAGTATGATTTTTAAACAACAATGCTTGCAATAATATTTTGATGATTGCTAACACTTTAGTAAAATATACATGATAAGAAAATATATACTATCTGTAATATTATTATTTTACTTAACAACAAAACTTACAATCTTATAGTATATATGGTAAGAAAACATAAATTCTAGTTGAAATATATCATATATATTTTAGTAAAATCTAGTTTCTTATAAGTATTTAATAAAGGTAACAACAATAGCTTCTTATTACATTACATAATATTTATATTACATATATTTTATAATAATTCATTAAAATATGTGGTAGCTAATAATAAACACTTGATACTATTATATAGTACTTGTAATAATTAAAAATAAATAAATAATAACACTTCATCATAACACATCTGATAATAAACAATATAACTTGATAACATTGCATTGCGTTGTTTCATTACCATGTATATGCTATGAAATCCACAAAATCAATTGACTTCCAATTACAAATAATTGACACTCTTAATTATTATCAATCTGCTCCGTCATACACTAATATTTAATCCACTTATAATCGGTTCATAAATCTTTAGGCATTATTTATTTTATATACTTTGAAAATATACAAAATATTATTCATACAATTTAGTCACGTAACATGACTTTTAAATGCATGATACACTATAAAAAATATAGTAAAATTTAAATATGCAATGGTATTTTTCGTAATAAAATGTAAACTTTTTGTGACATGTAAATGATAATATATATTCACTTACTAATGTTTGTAAAATATAAGATAATAAGCTATAAATACTTGTAATAATTTTTATAATATATGTGATAGCATAAAATTAAAATTTTCGTATAATTTTATATTATATATGGTATAATTTATATATTTTAGTATGAATTTATAGTGACGTTTATTAAGAATAAAAAATTTTTTAATTATCATTTTTTTTAAAAACTGTTTAAACTAATAAATATAAAAGAAGACATACTTTTTCCCCCTTCAATTTTAATATTTATTTGTTGTTTTCTTGTTATGTTTTTTTTACTGCTTAACATATGTTGGTCATATATATATATGTATTGTAATTTGAAAAAACAAACTGATTATCTAACCAAAATATAAATTATTTGTCATTACTTTGTAATTTTAAATTTTAAATTGTGACTAAATTTTGTCACGTGAGATGAGAATCGGAATCGTATAACACAAACAAATGCATTCATACATGCTGGATAACTACTGGGACCCACAACCCCCATCGCGACGCTCCCCAAAATTCGAAACGCGAGACTGAGCGCGGGGACTTGGAACTTGGAAGAACTTCTCTCTCTCTCTCTCTCTCTCTCTCTCTTCCTCGAAGTTTGCCACCAGGTTTTCAAAAAAACCAATCAATCTAAGTTCAAATTTATTTCATTTGAATATCTACCTTTGTTTCTTTCAAGTCTCCTCTTTATGGATTTCCAGTTCGCTGATCTCAAAGCTATTAATTAGTATACTTGAACGATTTTCCATACATTTTTGGTTTCTCTTCTTCTGCTACTGCTAATCGACTGTAAGAAGTTAGTTTTTTGCTGTCTTGTTTTTGAATTTGATTTTTTTTGTTAGTTCACAAATCTGTTCTTGTGGTAATAAACTGTAAGTGCTGCCGCTATCTTCGTTATATGTTTGCCATTTTAAAGTTTTGAGTTTTTTTTTTTTTTTTGAAGATAAACAGTTGAGTTTTTCTCTTTAAATTGGTTATTGTCTTCTATTATTGATTCTCTTCTGGCTTTTTGTCTAGTATTACTGAAATCCAGTGTTTGCTTTTCCTGGGTTTCCTTTGAGTGATCATATTGGATGGTGTCGACGAGTTTCTTGCTTGTTTTCTGAGACATTTGGGAGAAATAGTAGAAAAGAAGACGGATAACATCTGTGTTTACTCTGGTTTCTTGGTCCTAAGGGAGCTATGTAGTGTCTTTGCGTCTTGACTCTCGCTAAGTCTAAAAGCGTAAGCTTTATTATTTTTCTCTTTGGCTGTTTTTTTTTCTTGTCCTCTATTGCCATCTTGAGAAAATTAATGAAGCGTTTAGATAAAAGGCTCTTTTGCCTAAGCAAGTGTTATTTTCCCTCCTTTGATCCGTCAAATGTAAAGCTTTATTTGCTTTTTATAACTCTTGTCAGGATGACTTTGCAGGGTCCGGTACAGTGAATAACCAACATTTGGCATCACTTTGCAGATACAATTTAGGCTGTGAAAATTGATGGCTATTTCAGGAGTTTTTTCATTATTCTTGTAGCCCTCGAACAATGCCTACTTTGGAGATAAAAGTCTTGGCATGATTAGTATCTGATAGCTAAATGAAGGCACATTCGCAGATGAAAGTGAGGGGACCTGCTAAGGTCAACTCCCAGCAGGTGATTTTTGAGCTCAAGCATAAGGTTCTTCTTGCACTGAACAAACTAGCGGATAGAGACACCTATCAAATTGGGGTTGAGGAGCTTGAAAAGACAGTTGAAAATTTGACCCCAGATAAGGTTTCCACATTTCTATCTTGTATATTAGATACTGACTCAGAGCAAAAGAGTGCGGTACGAAAGGAATGTATCAGATTGATGGGTACATTAGCAAGGATTCACAAGGGTCTTGTTGGTCCACATCTTGCTAAGATGGTTACTAGTATTGTTAAGCGGCTCAAGGATCCAGACTCTGTTGTGAGGGATGCTTGTGTGGAAACAATGGGAATGTTGGCTTCTAAATTGAGTAGTTATGAAGATCAGAATGATGGGGTTTTTGTTGTGTTGGTGAAACCACTTTTTGAAGCCTTGGGTGAACAAAGTAAGCAGATGCAGTCGGGTTCAGCACTGTGCTTGGCAAAAGTTATTGATAGCACCCGTGATCCTCCCATTTCAATTCTGCAGCGAATGTTAACTCGAACTACAAAGTTGCTGAATAACCCACATTTTATGGCAAAACCAGCAGTAATCGAGTTGAATAGAAGCATCATTCAGGTTATTTTCAAACCGTATGTGCATAACTTCAGCTGCGCCATTATTATGGATGTTCCCTGACATTGATGTTGCCAAATTCTGTTGTTCTTTTTCTGCTACACATATGATACCATACACCTATGCTTGTATTACATTAAAGTGGTTCTAATTGTTCTAAATAGGTACGATAATTGGGCTCTGTATATGTTAGCTAGTTTTGCTCATATTATAGTTGTTCTTTGTATAATTTATTGTCACCTTTCTTTTTCCTTTTTTGTTAAAATAAAAAAGTTTTGATCCTCGTTAAGATTATTTAGCATTTGGTTAAGAGAAAAAACTGTCTATCATTTACTGGGGAAGGTGAACATTTTGAAGTCTATAGGATAGGTTTTGACACATACTTTGTACATTCTGAGCAACATCTGAATCTGAGGTTTAGCTCTTTAATTCTTAATGCATTAATTCATGAAACTGGACACCTTTTGTTTGAAGGAATTTTGTTCAATTATCTGAATGTTTTTTCATGGAATTGTGTATTTCGTAAGACAACATTTTAGCACGTCTTCTAAATATGAGTAGGTGCTATTTTGAATTCTAATAGTACAAGAAGATATTGTCATTAGTAATTTGGCGTTTTTGATAATAGATTATGTTTGAGTGCACTGCATATTTGTAAGCTTGGTTAATTTTATAATTGGTTTAGTAAATATTTCAGAATATGAGTGCACGATCAAACTGATGCTATCTTAACTTCCAATGCAGGCTGGAGGGGCTGCCACAAAAAGTATACTGTCAACAGCAATTGCTAGCATCCAAGAGGCTCTCAAAAACAGTGACTGGACAACACGTAAAGCTGCTTCCATAGCACTGGGTGAAATTGCTTCAGCTGGTGGCTCCTTTTTGGGAACTCTCAGAGCTTCCTGTATCCGTTCTCTCGAGTCTTGTCGCTTTGACAAGGTTGGTGTTCTTTAAGATCTGTTCTTGTGAATTTCATCATCTTACTGTAATTATACTGGATTAGTTAGGATATTCTTTGCTTTCTTATAGGTGAAACCAGTTAGGGACTCAGTGCTGCATTCCTTACAATACTGGAGAAGCCTTCCTGGACCTGATACGCCTGAACCTTCAGAAGCTGGATCATCTATAAAAGGTTTTATTTGCTGTTGATTCTCATGTGACAGAACAGTTATATTTTTATAATGTATAGGATTATGTTTGGGGCCTGATGTTGTTCGTAAAGATAAGAGAAGGAAAATAAAATTACCCCTGTTTTGGCATTTGATTGCTGGAACTCGAAAAAAAAATGTTTACCATTTGCAGCTAATGATTCTCTTCATATCTCATTAGAATGGCTCAGATTGGTGGTGCTGCAGGAAAGAGTTTCTTTTTAAAAGACTTTGTTTTTAGTTGCTGTCATTAAGGCTTAATATTAGTAAAAGCAAGTAAAGCATTTTGTAAATTGGCTTGCAAAAAAATTGTTTAGGATCTTGTATTTTGTATCTGTGTTTGGTAATACTGGATTTAAAGATATTACGAGAAGACAATTGATATGATTGTACTTTATATAAGAAAAGTTTCCTTTTACATAGGATCAACTACATTTAAATATATTAAACTCTAATCTCTTTTAAAAGATTGTATCTATATTTGACAATTAATTTGCTTCCTCCGGGACTGGAAGCAACTTTTGTTGCTTCAGAAAACAGCCATGTGGATGCCTTCCCAAAGCAGCCAATATTTTCCTTTTCTAGTTAGATATTTTAGAAAAGCCAATTAAGACGCACATCATCAAATACTAATTCTCCAAAAGTAAGATTACACTTTGAGAAGCAACTCAAGGTGCACCACCAATGGATCCCAATTTTATATCATGCACGGCGAAGTCCGAATTCTTCCGCCTTCAATGTTTGTTTTGAGAAAAATACTCATAAGAAACAAATTTTCTTTCTGATTTATTTTATTTCTGTAAGGAATTACTTACTGCAGGATTTTGTCAATGGCCAAACAAATGCACATGTGGGTTTATGTTTCTTTGAGTCTTGATGCCCTTAATGGTCAGGATGCTTTATTGCTTGTTTTGCTAACTTTTCAACTCAGACTTGTTGGCAAAACGTTTGCAAGCGTCTAAAAAGTATCAGAAATTATATTATAACATCTTTGTGGAACATCACGTTCTGTCTCAACTTGTTGAAGTCTAGAGAACTGAATAAACTGAGTTGAATGTGATTGTAAAATATCCTGTTTAGTTATTAAGCTGATCATAGGGTGATGGTTGCCCA